GCAGTGATTTATCACCCCACTGGTCTAAATTTCCTATCAACAACTTAGTTTAGGCACTCTGGGAACCCTCAAGAGCTATGTCTGAGGGAATATTTATATTACATCAGTTCTCTCTCCTCCCCTCCCAGTTAGGAAGATAAATGGTGAGTTTGCAGAACAGCAGCTGTAAGAAACAGGCAACAGAACTGGTAATCTGCTTAAAACGTCCAGATTCCCCTCAGAGGATCCAAGCAAACCTCTGACTGAAGCCCAGGAATTCTCCAGGTGGAGGGGAAGCTTGCAGGATTTGATCCTCAGAGACTGTCAACTGAAAAGACTGGATTCAGAGGGATTTTTCTTTCCAGAGGGATTTGTCCTGAAAGAGAGCTGACTCCTGTTTGGCATGGGTATGTCCCACCAGTGAGGGGCTGGAGAAAGGATGAGACCCTCTCTCCACTGTGTTAGGACAATGGGTTATTATGGCAGCTACAGGTGTACATTTCAAATTCTAAACCCACTAGAAAACTGAATATACATATCCCTACATTTCCCAGGTAAAGGGAAGTGCGGGCTGGCTGGCTTTAGAGAGCAATTCCCACTCCAAGGAAATTCACACCTGGACATCTCAATGCTTTCTGCCCCCTGAGGATGCTGTCACAGAGCCAATCACCTCACATGTGCAGTCATTTATTTACTCCTAGAATTCATGCTCACACACCTCAGTGATTAATGAGCAACCCAGGAGCACAGCTCTGATGCTGCTGAGTGATCCCTAATCCAGCTGGCACTGGGGAGCTGCTCCCAAACCACTTTTCTCGGGACAAAACAACTGGGTGGCTCCAAGACACCTTCTCCTACAGCCCCAGGGAGGGAAGAGCACAGTCTGGGGGGTAACTCTCACCTGGGGTGTCCCAGGAGTCAGTGCAAGGAGGGATGGCACAGTGCTGGGATGGGAAGGTGCCCAGCAGGCTTAGGATCCCTGGCACAGGGCTTGAATTTCCCTCACCACGATAATGTCCTGCCCAAAAACTAGGCTGTTCAGACAGAAAAAAAGGCACTCTGGTTTAAGGAATCGCAGACATCCCTCTGCTACGAAAAAGTGCTGCTTAGGAAAAATGGGATTGGGATTCAACTGTAAGAACTGCATGTCTCTGAGGGCGTGGAGATGTCTGCCCCAGGCAGCACCCTGGGCTTTATGGAGCGTGAAAGGCAGAGAGAGAGGCTGCATTCTCCTTTCCACAGCTCTGGCTCCTCAAGGAGAGGCAGGTGTAGGAAGGATAAATCCAGTCTGGCACCATGCCCAGAGAACAACATCAACAGTCCTGCCACAGCCCCATGCTACAGGGGGCTGAGGTACTTGAAGGTCTGATATGATCTTTTCCTTGACCACTTCCTGAGTTGTTTTTTTTTAGGGATGAAAAGCAAATGAAGCTTTTTGCCAAAAAAACAAAACAGCAGCTCTGCAGGAAAAAAAAAAGGCTAATATTATTATTCTTCCAGCAAATCTACTCTTAAGGGAGAAGGAAAGATATAAACAGCAGTTTCCTGTGACCCCTGAGGGACTGGAGTCTGTAGGAAGGATTAAAGGACACAAATATTTCTAAGAAAGGAATTTTTGGAAGTTCACAAATCCTTTTAGCTGCCAATTTCTGTGTAGACACTCTTAAATGAAAGGAAGAAGACCCTTAGATACCCTACAGTGACACTGGCTGAAGGCACTGGCTCTCACATGCAGAAATATTCCTTATCCTGATGTTTAACTGGATAGAGCATAGGTCAGTAGTTTCTCTCCACCTCTTCCCTGTGAAACAATCCTCAATGGTTTCTGTAGCCTGTCTATCCTGGCATTCTTTTGCTTTGGGAAGTATTTAAGCAAATTCCCAAATGTTTATAACGTCTCTCCCATGAATTTGTAGGATATGGTATCCAAAGCATCACTGGCAGGAAAATTTGCCTTCTAATGCTCCTGAATATTCAGCCCAAATATACATACATAAACATGAATATGCAGGAATTAAACAATGTCCTGGTAGTTTCAGAGACAAGACACTCACCTGGGGGAAACTCCAGCTCCAGGAGCACATGTCAGGAGAGTTCTCAGTGCATTAATGAACATGTGACATACATGTCTGCACTGGAAACCCAAAACCAGCATGGAATGTGCAAAGGTGGAGGACAGGATGCTGTCTACCCTTTAGAAACAGTGGGTCCATAGGGCTGGATTCATGCAGAATGTCCTGGCATGGCTGTGGTTTAGTGCTCAGGATGTTTTAGCCATGAGGCATGGCACTTGGGAGACTTTGGAGATGTGGAGATGGCAAACAGCACTGCAGTCTAGCAAATTCCTACTGTCACTGTGTGTGTGTGTTCTGACACTCAGGGCTTTGAGCATTAAATCAAGTGACACCTCAAGGTTCCCACCCTGAGTTCAGACAGGATGAGACAGCCTTTTTCATGCAAGAGTGAGCGGGACAGTCAAACCTGGGCTGTTCCCTTCAACTGTGGGAAGCACAAGACAAGAAGTAAAGGTACAGGATGAGCACAGGCACACATCACTGTCACTACCTGCAATGTCAGCCAAGGGAAACACTGAGGACACAAGGTGTGGAGAGCAGCTGGGGACACTGTTCCCTCTGCTCTGACCACAGCACACACTGCAGCCAGGCTCAGTCCTACAGCAGTAGCCAGCACCCAAATCCTTTTCTGAAAATTAAACTGGTGTGTTTATTCATGTTTATGTGGGTGCCCTATCTTTGGAAGTGTAAAAGGACAGACTGGATGGGGCTTGGAGCAACCTGGTCTAGTGGAAGGTGTCCCTGCCTGTGTCAGGGGGTGGGGTGGGATGGGATGAGCTCTCTTCCAACCCAAACCACTCCGTGACAGGCACAGACGTTCTGGACTGAGTTCAGAGGAGGCCACGGATATACTCCAAGGGCTGAAGCCCCTCTGCTCTGGAGCCAGGCCGGGAGAGTTCAGGGGTGTTCAGCCTGAAGAGAAGGCTCCAGGGAGACCTGGGAGCTCTTTCCAGTGCCTAAAAGGGCTCCAAGAGAGCTGCAGAGCGACTTGGGATAAGGGCCTGGAGGGACAGGACACAGGGAATGGCTTCCCACTGCCAGAAGGTAAGAGTGGATGGGATATTGGGAAGTAATTGTTCCCTGTGAGAGTACAGAGGCACTGGCACAGGTTGTCCAGAGCAGCAGGTTGTCCTGCTCTATCACGGGAAGTGTTCCAGGCCAGGTTGGATGGGGCTTGGAGCAACCTGGGCTAGTGGAAGCTGTCCCTGCCCATGGCAGAGGGTGAACTAGATGAACTTTCAGGTCCCTTCTCACCCCAGCTATGGCTCCACACTAAGCCCAGCCTCATGCTCTGGCCCTTACCAGCTGGGGGCTGTCCATAGGAGGTGGCATACGCCGTCTGCCCGTACGTCGCGGTGGTCTGCGGCTGTGTGTAGCTGACGTCGGTGGGTTGCCCATAGGTCCCGTAGCTCTGCTGCCCATATGTCTGCTCCAAAGAGGACACAAATTGAATCCATGAACACAAGTGACTCACAAAGGCTGTGGTTACTCAATGCAATCAGAGCCAAGCCAAGGCTGCTGTGAAAGTTTAGGTGCTGCGGCAGATTTCAGGTGAGCTCTGTAATGCAGTTACGAACGCGGCTTTGCCCTGCCAGGGCTGAAGGAACAGACTCTTCACAGTCTCACCACACACCTCTGCTCTGTGCCAAGCAAACAGGAAAACACTCAGCTCCTCAGAACTGCCTGGGCACCACCAGCACTCACAGGTACCCCCTCGGCTACCCTGAAACATGGGAGTGGGACTGCTCTAAGAGCAGAACTGCACGAAGGAAAACAAATCCCTTTGGCAGAAAACTGCTTTAGTGTTTGCTAGAGGAAACCTGCCTAAGGTTCCAGTGAAGTGATTCACAGTATTTTTCATGCCCACCAGCCAACAGCTCGAAAACTAGGAGCTGATGTAAGTATGGAAGGATGGGAACCACAGAACACCCAACCATCACCAAATTATCCTGGTGATGCTACTTCCTCCTGGTGCTTTTGCCTACAGTGAGGGATCAGCCCTCAACTCACCCCTTCCCTGAGCTCATTTTCAAATCTAAGTTGAAAATGCCTGACTAAAGGACAGGGCCAGCTCTGCCCAGCACGTGGCTCAACCCTGCAGAGCCACCTCAGCCCTGTGCCATGTCCTGCCAGCTCACACTCCAGGCACCGGCCAACTGCCAGAGGCTCCTGGTTTAGGACAGAACTCTGCTCACAGCTTGAGAAGTGACATGGAGACAGCCTTAACTTCCAGATTCTCAAGGGATTTAGACTACTGGGGAGCCTGGAGTTGAAACCTTTTGGGATGTGGGTTACTCACGGGCCAGTCTCCCTGCACTCAGGGCACAGGGCTGAGCCAGGAGTAGGACAGCCCTGACCACAGGAACACCTCACTGACCCTGGAAACTCACTACACCAAGGCACGAAACACTGCAAACCTCCCACAGCCACATGCCTACAGCTGAGGTTAGCTGGTTAGGTGTTTAGTTAGCTGGTTTTAGCTGTTTCAGTCTCACACAGCCTTCCTGTTTGGTTAGGTGTTAGCTGGTTTTAGCTGTTTCAGTCTCACACAGCCTTCCTGTTAGCCTTCCTGTTAGCCTTCCTGTCCCTACACTTGTCAGCGTGCTCACACCTGCCCTTCCACCTCACCTACAACTGGTAGCAGCTCTTCCTCTTGCTGTCTCAAAGCACTTACAATAAGAACCACCATCACCTTCCTTTCAGCTGCCCCAAATGCCCAGACTGAACCTTTAGCTGTTTCAGTCTCACACAGCCTTCCTGTTAGCCTTCCTGTTAGCCTTCCTGTCCCTACACTTGTCAGCGTGCTCACACCTGCCCTTCCACCTCACCTACAACTGGTAGCAGCTCTTCCTCTTGCTGTCTCAAAGCACTTACAATAAGAACCACCATCACCTTCCTTTCAGCTGCCCCAAATGCCCAGACTGAACCTGTCTTCCTCCTCTGGAGGGAAAATGAACCTACACCACTTTTTGAGCACAATACATTTACCTTTGGAAACATACTTGGAGTTTGGAGACAAATGTGGTTGTAGTAACTTGGATTCTAAAGGTTAAAAATAAGCATTAAGTTAATCTCTTAAAGATCATAATTATTTTGCACTCTAGCTAACTGAGAATATGAACAGTTATAGCAACAAAACCTTCAGGAAAAAATCAACTCCAACTCCCAAAGGGCAATTCCCCCCTTTTTCTCCCCCAGGTTTTTCTCTCCTACACCTCGGATTAAACACCTCCCAACATGGTGGTGTCACACACACACCATGAATTTGGGGTTTATGGGTTGAGGACTAGATAAATCAACACAAAGGGGAACTGTTGAGATTATTTAAACAGCAGTTTGGGCTGGGGGAGAAGCTACAAGGCAACTTTTAACCACAGCCTCTGATGCTGCCGCTCGTTGCTCCGCAGGCAGCAGAACCCCGTGCGTTTCCCTGGAAAACAGGTGATTCAGCAGCAATCCCAGCCCACTCCCGTGTTTTACCTGGGTGGTCTGTGCATATCCTTGAGCTGGCTGAGGTGCATAGGCGCTGTAGCTGTGGAATGAATGTAAAGACATTTATAATCTGCACACAATCTGTGTCACAAGACAATTTTCACGCAGCCAAATGGTTTCTGCGGAAATGCTATGGAAATACAGGATCTAAAAGATCAAGGAAAAGCTCAGGATTTACAAACAGACCTGAGTTAAGCCTAAACCACAATGACTATATAGTTTTATTACATCTTTTTCAAACAGGGAGGAACAGCCCATAATGCTACTTACCCCTGCTGAGCTGCAGCTTGGCTATAGGTACTGTAATCTACAAGGAGAGAAAAAGAAAAGGGGAAAAAGGTTGATAAAGGCTTAATAAAATTAAGAGTGTAAGAGCACAGCAGCTGGAGTTTCCTCCTGCAGCTCACTATGAACCGCTGGAATTCCAGTTTCCAAAGGGTGGAAGGTAAATGCACTTTTTCAGGCCTTCTTTTGAGGGAAACAAAACCTCTCTTCCCCCCATTGTTCCTGCTGGTTGCAGCAGCGACTTTGATCTCAGATGACCCTGCTTCAATTAACTGCCACCTTGGATGGATCCCAAGGGGGGCTGGCAGGGGGGATTTGGGTTGGAACAAAGGGAAAACAGGGATTTCAGGCTTACAAAGCCCCCACCCTGGTTTGAAAGGATCAGGCTGGAAGGTTTCATCACCTTCACTCCTCACTTCCAAGGACACAAATTAATGGCTGGAAAGCTCTAACACTTGTCTCCTGGCAGGGTGGGAAGCTGGAAGTGATTCCCTCCCCAAATCCTCAATCCATGTCAATACACTGATTTAGAGGAGAACCAAAATCCTGAAAACCCAAGCAGCAAAGTCTGTGCTGAGCTGGCTTGCTGGAGGGGATGAAAACTGCATCCACATGGCAATGAGGAGGCTAAATTTTCAAGGATTACAACTCCCAGATCCTTCAAAGCACCAACAGCTCCAGATCCCATCCCAGCCTCTGGAGTGAGGGATGAATCGAATTCATTGCTTGGACCAGACCATGCCAGAGATCCCAACTCTCCCAGGAAGACCTAAGATGTGGAATAAGCTCAGAGCTTGCTGGACTCTGCTGCTCAGGCCACAGCACCTGAGCCAGAGGCAGGAGCTGGAGTCAGGGAGTTTTCCCAGGCAAAGCCTGTGTGGGAAGAGGTTGCACTGTTCCCAAGGTCATCACACCTCCAGGACTGCTGATCCCAGCCAGAAATCTGAGTTTATCCTAGAATCATGGCATATCCTGAGCTGGGAGGGACCCATATGGATCACAGTTCAACTCCTGCCCCTGCACAGGACAATAAGGAATTTGAGGAAGCAACTGAACAGCTTTAATGCTGTTATCCCATTGCTCCCAAGGCAATGAAGCCCCAGGAACCACCTTGCAAACAGAGTTTCCATACACCACAACCTCTTGTTTCTCTAGCCTGTGGATTCATCCCTACTAAGACTTTCCTCTCAAAGGTTCACATGCACTCCCAGCTCTTCCTCCTGCTCCCTTCCCTGTACTGCTGCTGGGGCTCAGCCCCTGGATGTGTGCTGAGGGAAGGAAAGGCAGTGCCATGGCAGTAATTACAAGCATTAATTCCATTATTAATTAATTAAATGGAATTAATACTAACTCCTTGGCCCTTGCCCAGTACACTAGGAGCTGCCCCCAACCCCTTATATGACAGAGACACCAAACTGTTCTCCAGAGGCTTCCCAGGATCATAGCACAAGTTAAACTCCTCTGGCACCATTTCTACTTCCTTTACAGGTTGGCACATGGGATATTGAAACATTTTCCTTGTTAAACTCAGAGTTTTCTGTGCTTTTGTTTAACTTAGTTTACGTGTAGCTAAGTCCTGAGTGCTAACCCTTTCCCTCTCTCCCACCACCTCCCTGGCCCACTCCATCACTTTCTACATCTCCCCCACTCCCTCTTCCCTTATCCCTGCTCACCCTTCAGCCACCAAACCCTCCATATTCCTTATTTAATTCTCATTTTCAGCACCCTTTTGGACTATCCCAGCCCCCCAGGTGCTGAGCAAGGGGCTCCTACTCTTCACCCACACTGGCAGATCCCAACCACCCCCAAATGCTCTGAACTCCTCACAGGGGCATGAGTGCACCCCTCATAACCCTGCCCACAGTCCCACCTGGAATTGCCACTTTCCCCTTTCCAGGATGCAATTCCAGGTGTGGAATTTGCATTTCCCTCTGGTGATCCTTCCTGTTTAATTTGCTCAGACTCAGACGGACGTAAAGCATTAATAAAAAATCATGTTATGGTTCACTGAGTTAAACCAATCTCCTGCCTTTTATTTCCAGTGGGAAATTACTCTTCATCCTTTTATTTCCCGAGGCTCAGGAGCACAAGAGCACAGCTGAAAATAGCAGCTCCCGGGAGGAACAATTCATGGGTTAAGGGAGAAGGCAAATGTGGTTTTTACCCCCATTTTTGCAATTCCATTGGCACATATTTCTTTACTATTTTCTTAAGCTCTCCAAGGTGCTATTAGTGATATTCCCTCACACACTGTGGCCTGGGACATTTTCCCTTATGGAAATAAGCAAACTCCTCTTCTCCCTCTGTATGGAAAGATCTGAACTTGGGTTGATGGGCTTAGAAGTACTTGAAAAGTGATGTTGCACAGTTGGTCTGTTTTGAAGTATTCATACCCAGTTTGAGCACTCATGGAAAAACCTGTTTCCTTCTGTGATGCTTCACTGGTCTACTCAAAGAAATCTGAAGCCATGAAGATGATGGAAAACCTCATTTCCTTGTGGGGAAAAGCTGGGAGAGCTGGGGGTGTTCAGTGTAGAGAAGAGAAGGCTCCAAGGAGACTTTAGAGCTCCTTCCAGCGCCTACAGGAGCTCCAAGAGAGCTGGAGAAGGACTTTGGACAAGGGATGGAGGCACAGGACACAGGAAATGGGTTCCCACTGCCAGAGGGCAGGGCTAGATGGGATACTGGGAAGGAATTGTTCCCTGTGAGCGTGGCGAGGCACTGGTACAGGTTGCCCAGAGCACCTCTGGTTGCCCCAACCCTGTGAGTGTTCCAGGCCAAATTAGACAGGGCCTGGAGCAACCTGAGCTAGTGGAAGTTGTCCCTGCACATGGCAGGGGGTGGGACTGGTGAGTTCTGCCAACTCCAACCGTTCGGTGGTTCCACACTCGCACCAGCCCCGGCAG